TGCACCGGCGCAGCCCCGCCGTGCCCAGCGCCTACTGCGTGGGCTCAGGTCCCCCTTCGCTGCCCCCCAGGGTCTCGGCATCTCTGAAGCAGCTCCCTTTTCGCAGAGAGGAGCTCTCTTGATGGCTGTTGAACTGATAAACCCGGCGTTTGAACAAGCGATGGAGCTTCTCCTGGAACTGGTTCCCGATAAAGCAGTACAGTAAAGGGTTGATGCAGCTGTTGGCAAATGCCAGGCAGATGCCAAAGGGCAGTCCTGTGTCGATGACGCCTATCGCGGCACAGTCGTTAATGATGTTCATGTAAGCCAGGGCATCCAAAAACGTTAAAATGTGGAACGGGAGCCAGCAAATCAAGAAGGCCACAACAACGGCAGCCACCAGCTTTAGGACTTTGTCCCTTTTCTGCTTGTTTTTCCCAAACTCCTGTGTTTTTAGCAAGTGCCTCCTGATCCAGATGTAGCACATGGTGATCACGGTGAAGGGGATGAAGAAACCAAGCATATTTTTCAGGAAGGCTGTTCCCACAGACCATTTTGCGTAATTGTCATGAGGAAAGGCCATAATGCAAGCGTTTACCCCCAAGCTTTTAACATAGTGTGTGTCACGGAAATAGAAAGTCGGGAGGGAGGAAAAACAGGCCAGGCTCCACACAACCGTTGCTACCACATATGCCTGCTGCAGAGTTCTCCTTTGAGAGCGAATAGGGTGGACAATAGCATGGTACCGGTCCAAACTCATGCACGTAATGAAAAACGTACTTGCAAACATGTTCAGGCACAGGATCGAGCTGGAGATTTTGCACATGAGAGACCCAAAAAGCCAGTTGTATTCATGTGCATAATAGGTAGCCCAGAAGGGGAGGGTAAGGAGGCACAGCAAATCTGCCACGGCCAGGTTGAAAATGTAGATATTAGCAACTGTTCGGGGACCACGCTGACAACAGAGCACCACCACCACCACACTGTTGCCAACCAGCCCTAGAACAAAAACCACGGAGAAGAGCACCGGAATTAATGAAAATTGGTAGCCAGAAGAGATAAGCGGGCAGGGAGGTGGTGCGCGCAGGGCAGCCGATGTGTTGGTCAGCGCTGCGTAGAGGAGCTGCAGAGTGTCTCGGGTGGTGATGACCAGGGAGTAGTTGCTCTGCATGTTGGCACTGGTGGAAAAAAAAATGTTCTCTTGGAAATTCATGTGTAGCAGCACCTTTCCATCACGTCGCTCACCTGCAGATCATAAACCACATTAGACACACTCTGCAGACATCTTCGGTCTGGAATCACACAAGCACAATACAATAAAATCATTTAAAATGATGCCAGTAAGCTGAGAACTGAGACATCAGGCAACCATGCAGGACTTCTTTCCTCCATCCTACTGACAGGACATGATTAGCATTAGGGAGGTCAAGGCATGTTTTAATTAGCCTGGCAGAGAAGCGAGCGGCTGGGTTTTATCTAGGATTAGACAGTAATTTCTGCGGCAGCAGAGCAGAAAGATTATTGATTCAGGAAGCGCAGATTCTTCAAGGGACTTTTGAGACCACAGAAAACACTTAGGCTCCTTGCGATCTTTTTTCTCAGCTTTCTCATCCTATTTCCAGCACTCGATGCCGTTAAAATAAAGCAGAATGGCAGCGCTTGCCAGCAGGGATCAAGTACCTCACACCCACAGAGCTCCCGGCACTTCACAGGCATCAACACAGCCTTTTAATACGGCTATTAGGAAGGCAAGCTTTGACTTTTCTAATTCATGAGGCTGGATACAGTGACTCTGAAGGGCCTTTGCAAAATATCACACCCTGACAGAGTCCTTCTCCAAGCAATCCTGCATCGCCTGCCCCCTTAATGGCTTTTAGTCAGAAGAGTAAAATAATTTTTTTCAATGTAGATACAAGCAATAAGCACTCGAGTACCTAGTCCTTGCAGGCGCTGGATTTAACAGTAGTATTTGTCATCCATTTAGAAAGATCAGGACTGTGCTTTGATATGGGAAAATGTAGCTACAAAACGGCACCAGTAAGAAGGTCCTTGGACAGACTTTGTTCCCAGTCTCTTGAATCTGCACTCTGAGCAGCGCTTTTTTCAAACTTCAAGACTTTATAGCCAATAAAAAAGACGGCACATCCAAATAGTTTATTGCACATAATAGAAAGACAATTCCTTTTTAATAAAGTCCTTACGGAAACAGTCAGGCATTTAAGGATTCTCAGGGGGCTCTGCAGTAACAGGAATTTTGACCAAGTAAAGACAACAAAGTTAAGTAATTAATAGCTTAGTGTACAATCACTTATCATTTTCTCAGTGCAAAATATGCATCACGCAGCTTTGAACAGTCTGACAAAATTGAATTTTAATTATGTTGTCTCAACGTGCTGGAAATTCAAGAGGAGAACAGTAGTGCATATTTCTGCCTGTGTTTCAAGTCCCATGCACTGGATCACAACCCCCTGGGCTATAACCAGATGGATCTCAAGCCTGAGCAAGGGTGTTAGCTGGGGAGAGGGAAAGGCGTTCAAGGGAGGGTCAGGAGCCCCCTTTCTCCCTTAACGCTTATGTCTTGAACCCCTCACTTTAACCACAGAAGCTGAAGTTTCAGGAATAGTTGCAAAGCCTTATGTATTTGACTGACTTGCAGTAGAGGGACCATGCCATATTTAATTTTTGCTATATTCTGGAGAACATGCTCGCCCCTCTGCGCAGAAACAACTCGGTAGCTTCAGGTCTGCTTCTAAGGAATGACTCCAAGTCTCATTCCCGCTCTAAGACACAAGGAGTCATTTTATCACAAAGCAAATCAAATTACGCTCTAACAGCAGATAGAAAACGTACCTTTAAAACCTCACCTTCCTCTGGCTGGAGCTCTGGAACTATGCACTCCTTTCTTCTGCTTTCCTCCTAGCGAGCATCACCCCCAGCTCTCTGCTCTCTTAAACGCTCCGCTTTCCCACTGGGAGACTTTAACCTACATAACTTGAGGGCTGAAATATGAATGCCTGCCAGCGTCTTTTCCTTTTGGAAGCAAAGCAGTTTGAGAGCCCCCCTTTCCCAGGCCACGTGAGCACAGGCAGTAAATCAGGAGAGAGGAACAAGCCAGCCAAAAAAGAAAAAAAAAGAAAAGAAAGAAAGGAAGAAAAAGGAAATTCACACAAACATCAGTGCGGGTTTCTCTGCACAAACGCATAGGCACGCACGATGCAGGGAAACTCGGCGGGTAGGGGGATTTCCATGCGCTTTAGGGAGTCCTGGTGTTTGCTAGCCCGCTTGAGAGCGGAAAAGGTTATTATAGAGAGACCGACTGCAACGCGAGCACGCAGAGGAGGAGAGCGCAGGAGCTTCGCAGCGCTCGCAGACGGAGCTGCCTCCTGGCCCCAGGGGCTGCTGCAGAGCAACCGCTGGTGCAAAATAAACATCTGTCAGCCCTAAAAGTTTTGCCTTGATATCCCGAGCCTGGTCTCCCCGCAGCACCAGCCCATCTGCCGGGGATGTCTGTGCAGCGCCGGCCGCCCTCGCCAAGCAGAAAGCACCCACGGCAGGGCTGGGCCACCACCGCCGCTGCGAGAAGCCCCGGTGCCTGCCCTTGCTTCGGTGCTCTGTAACCAGCAAGCTCTGCTTACACCAGGGTAACCCAAGAGGGAGCTGATACAGGGAAAATAGCCTTTCTCCTGCATCTTCCAGGCTTGAGCAGGCCGTGGAGAACGGTCCAGCTTTTGGCCCAGCGAGAAACCACGTGCACGCTACAGACGTGCTACAAATGCTCCGTCCGTCGTCCAGCCCAAACGTGCACCAAACAGGTCGGCAGGAGCACTGAACAGTGAGTAAGTGCAGAAGTCGCACATCCTCCTGCAAAGGGGAAGAAATGCATCTTTTGCCGGCCAGCACCCCCTGGACCCACAGCGTGCCCTCCGGTCCGGAGGGCTGCGGGCTCTCCGCGCAGCTGAGTGAGCGACCCGAGGTGGCAGCTCTCGCCCTGACCCACATCCTTCAATTTTTTGTTAACGGGCTGCAGTGAGCCACCCTCAGTTAGGAGGTCTTGCTGCTGGTTTCGCACGCAAACGGCTGGTGAAGGATACTGCTCCATCCTTCATCAAACGTCCGGTGCACTCTGTAAGCAGGGGAAAGTCAATAACATGAGAATGTTTATTTTGCAATAATAACAAGCTCAAGTTGTTGTTTAGATTTCAAGTTTTCCCTTCCAGTTGTACTTTAGATCTTCACAGATACTTGCTGTATCTACTCTGTTCTAGCAGTGCCTCAAGAACTGCTCAAAACCTCCGGCTGGCTCCGTGTCTCCTGGGAGGAGAGAGACGGGCCCGGTGCAGCGGGGACAACAGCATCTCACCTCAGCCTGCTCCCGGCAGGGCCCAGCACGTCCGACTCCCTGTCTCATCCCACGTTCTCACTGCAAAGCTCTGGTTAGCCACATGCAAATATTTTCCCCCTCCTATTTTCATCTGCATGTTGCCAGTACAGGAAACGGCTGGGAAACAGAAGACAAGTCTGCACTGCCCAGCACGGACGCCCAAGCCGTGTGCGCACGAGCCCTCCTCGTGCCACGCCGCCCTGCTGCTGCGCTGATGCCCCGGCGCGCACGGGACACGTTCATCCCACTTCCAGGGCTGGGCTCCAAAATCCACCGTGGATTTGCTGCATCAGCACTCAGCACAGAGCAGATACACACAGAGGCAGAGACCTCAGGCGTTTTACTGTTCCTCTGCTTGGAAAATTACCAAAGCGGGGAGTTTTCACTGCAAAAAGACCCAGTTGGTGTTAAATAGTGAGGAGCTGCTGCTTCGTGGGGCATGTATTTAGGGAAGGACTTTATGCATGTCTTTTTATACTAAAAAAAAAAAAAAACACCGTTCAAAAGTATTTCTTGCTGCACGCTCACTTGCAGCACTCAGACTTGACCTTCTACCCTCCCGCCCACATATCTGAAGAGTTCCTTAGAAGTATTTTAAAAAAAGAAAAAAACACACATGCAACATTCAGATAGCAACTTCCAGTCACGTGCATAATCTTTTTAAAACAGCTGGATACATGTAAGTTCCTAGGTCTTGCTTTTCACAGGGAAACGCTGCTGCCCGGGATGGAATATTCCAAAGAGGCAGCGGTTCAAACCGCTCTCGCGCTTTGTCAGACCGGGCTCTGGAGGCTAAACCTCGCCAGCCTGCCAAATTCCCAATGCAGTGTGGGGTCCAGCTGCGGAGAGCTTTCATGGGCTTGATTCGTTTCCTTTCGAGAAAGCAAGAGGGAAAAATCTCATATAACCGTGCTCCCCAGGACGTACGCCCCGATGCAGGGCAGTTCGGCTCCCAGCCCTTCGGCACGGATTGACAGCGGGATACTCTGACTCGGAAGGAAAACCCGCTCGGCAGCCGAGCAGCAGGTGACGGAGATTCGGCCCCGCACGCTGTCTGGGGGGGCGAACGGCGTATTTGCATTGCACCGCACGGCGCGTTTGTGCTGCACCGAACAACAGACTTTTTGCAAACACCCCGAAAGGAGCCCGCCTGCAGTGGGGCTTCCCCAGCACTCCATCAGCTTGTATACGGATTCCTCCTTCCCGTTTCTGTTTGTTTAAGGTTTTGGCTTTTGTTTTTTGTTTTTGTTTTTGTTTTTTAAGGGATTAAATATCCAGCTGTACAAGTAAGGTCAGATTATTCACCTCCCCCTGGCAGAGCCCCAGAGCACCCCTGCGGAAGGAAGGAAGAGTGCTCTCTCGCATCCCTGCGGTGGCCACAGCGAGGAGAGCGGGTCCCACTGAAGAACCGATGCCCAAGGCGGTGAGTCCCGCTTGCACCCGCCGTCTGCAGTCCTTGCCTCGGCGTACTGGGGTCTTCACACCGTCTCGCAGACCTCTGCAGCATGGTCAGGTTTGCCGATGAGTCTCTCTCGGCCAACTGAGTGTTTCAGCCAGGACACAGAAGTATTAGCATCAAAAAAAGAAAAGAAAAAAGAGACATTGGTCAGTACTTTGTCTTCTTTCCTGGAGCCATGATTTCAGCTGGAAGCAGGTCTGGAGGAACCATTGGTTTCCCAGCAATAGCAGCACGCCAGGGTGCAGAGCGTGGCGGAGGCAGACCGGGGGAAGAGGGACGCCCCCCTTGCATGCAGCACCGAGGAGAGGTTTCCAAGGCATTTATTTTACGAGTTGTTTTTGTCCAGCTGATAACAGTGCCAAGACCGTGGTTATCCACCACAATATTGTTTGTTCAAATAATTGGCCTTAAGCGCTTTACAACTTACTAAAAGTAGTAAAGAAAACAAGTGCATAAGTGACTTTGGAAGTGCTGCGCGCCCGCTGCTATTACAGGCTGGGCTGTGCGACCGCTCCGGCCCCGCTGGCCCGGCCCCGGGAGAGCGCTCCAGCGCGCCCGGCACCTCCGACACCAGCCGCACGCGGGGCTGGGTCTTTTCCCAGGGCTTTTCCCAGGCCGGGCACGTTGCTGACCTCCACTGAAGCTTCTGGGGGCCGAAGCACAGCGTTTTCGGCGTTCGAAACCTAGTTTTGACACCCAAGGGCCGAGTGGGAACCACGTTCAGCTTTCATAAAGAACACTTTCTTATCACAGTTAGTTTTCTCCTCCCTGACCTCTTGCTGCGACAAGCAGCAGAAGGCGAGACGGATGCCCGCAGCCCATGGTCAAGAGCTCCCGCCTGTCTAATTTCCACTTTACTGGTATTAATGCACATGTAAATAGCACGGTGTCTGAAGGATGTGGGATCATGCTTCCCACTGCTTTTCTTGTTAGGGTTGCAAAGTGCTTTTTCAGGAGCCAGGACTCCAAGGACAGTTTCAGAGCCGCACAGTGCAGGCTAGAGCACAGCAATACCTTTCCAGAGATCCTCTAAATAGAAAGTCTTCCCTCCTTTACTGTTTTGAACTATTCGCATTGTAAGCATCATTTCCCACTTTTTAAGTGCTTTTGTCAGGAGTTTCGCTTATGTACCAGACACGCTGACATACACATGGAAAAGGTAGCTCATCAGCTAGATAAGCTTTGGGAAAAGCCAGAATATTCCTGATACTTGACTATTCCAGCTTATTTCGTCCTCCTTGCAGTTCAAAGTGCTATTAAGCAGTCCTGTTCACCCTACGTTCACCCAGAGAGCTTAGAGAAAACAAACCTTGTTGCTTTAAGGCATTAGACTAGCAAGACAACAGTGTTACAAACAGCAATGATATCACAGCATTATTGCGAGTATTTGTACGAATATCGTTATAATGGGAATAACATGAGCAGTAGCTTGCTATAATCCTACAAGAGATACAGGGAACAATTTGGCATAGGGGAAAGAAAACGCCCAATGCAGTGGTGGAGGAGCAAAGTCCACGTTCTCCCCTGCATAGTCTCAGAAAGGAGAAGCTAGGCACAGCACAGAAAAGGAGGACAGGCTGCCCATAGCTCTGTCCTACCAAACACCACCAAAGGAAACCTCAGGACAGGTATCTCAAAGACATCTGTCTGTCTGGGAATGAAGAGTGTGCTATGGGTGAAGAGCCCTCAAAAACCTAGCTCCAGGGAGCAGCTAGCATCAGGGTCTCAGCATGGGGACAGCAAGACAAGCCTCCCAAAGCAGATGCATGGGCTGCTTGCATCAAACCTCAACCCTGGAAAGAAAATACAGCTCCTTACAATCTACAGTACTAAGCAGGGCCCTTGGCATCAGCTCCAAACAATCTCTGAAGTGGGTGTGCTGGGCTATAAATCCCAGACAGCAGGCAAATCACTGCCTGAGGAAAAGGCAAAATGCAACCATGGTCATGCAATGAGTGCGTGTATTTTAACAGAGAAATGTAGGGCTTCAGCCTTTCCATTCAAGCCAGAAGGGTGAGCCACCAGAGCCAAAACACAGTGTACTCTGAAAAACATACTCTAATGTACTCTGGAAAAAAGCTACTAGCAGATGGAGTACAACAAACAAAATCCTTGCACGTGGAGTGCAAAGAGCTGAGCATGGAGAATACAGCCCTGGGGCTGAACGGCCAGAAACAGAGTGGACCATAGTGGGAAAGTACTTATTAAAAAAGTGTCTAGAGAGAAGAACCACATGGATCTTCATCTGAAGGACCTGATCTTTATACCTGGTCGCTGCAGCGCGTGGTGCATTGGCAACACCGGCTGCAGCTGCCCGCAGCACTGCCGTTCACACAGCTGCAAACTGGGGAGAAGTGGCTGGAAAGGCAGTGCCAGACCACTTGCAAAGGAGCACCAGGCACCCTGCAACATGCATGGGATTTGCATGATTATCTTGGACCAGCATTCAGCCCCAGCACAGGTCTTGTTTCTCCGCAGCGTTTCATAAGGGCACGCGACAGCACAGCCATGCCATGCTGAGCAGAGGCGCGCAGTGTACCCATCCAGGGCTGGCAGGAGGAAAGGATGGAGAGGTGGCATCTTGCAAACTGTCTGCACTGCAAATCGGGCAAGGAGAGCAGAAAGCAGCGAGGGGCTCTTGCAGGCTCTTTTGGTGCCCCAACACCATTGCGCTTGTGCAGATTGGGAGGGAGCACAGTGACATCCTGGGCTCAGCTGAGGAGGAGGAGGATGAAGGCAGTCCCGACCTGTCCACGCTGCCTGGAGCACAGACCCCCATGGCTGTGTTGCTTCGATCCAATGGCAACTGCAACCAGACCTGCCTTCAGTGAGCGTGCCCTGGGGAACCGGTACAGCCAAAAATCCTGGCAAGGCTACTGTCACCCCTTGCGTATCATAGGATCATGACAGGGAGCAGCTGGACTTGCCAAGCCCATAACACGCCATAACAACCTGGTCATTTTGATACTTCCAGGCTCTTGGGCCTACAGGACACACTGAACCAAGGAGACATTGTGCAGCTGCGCATTCATGTTACGCTACTATGTTTTAGTCCAGTTGAGCAATATCTGGCAACAACAAGTTCTGAGAACTGCATACTTTTGGTCTCTGAAAATCTCCAATGTGAAATCAAATGCAAACAAGCAGAATCAGTGACAGGGCTGGGCTTAAAAAAGGGCTGAAACATGGCAACGCTGCTGGAATTATGACCATAAATAAAGCACACGTCAAATAAAAATGGCAGCAGAGCAAGCAATCTGTTTTCTTCAGCCTAAGCTACCAAGTTTAGCTAGAAGAGACAGACTGTTCCTGGCTGGGGACACAGAACGGCTTGCTCGTCCATGTGGGGACCAGCAGAGACCTGGCTGCTCTGCCGGGAAACGTGGGCAACGCTGGAGAGTGCTGGGTGTCCACAATTCTGCCACAGCTGGAAGCTGAGGAGATACCAGCCGTGAGAAACACCACATCCTCAGGGTAACCTTCCCATCCGAGGCGGGAGCAGAGACCATGGGGATCACCCACCTAAACCTCTGGCATGGCCCCGAACACCAGCAGCTGGCCAGTGACCCAGCAGTGCACGTTACCACCCTCCTCCAGGGCAAAAGCCACCAGTACCCAGCTCACTGGAGATGCTTCCTGCCGAGGCCACGGTACCACCACTTTCAGGGTGAAGAGCAGAGTTTGTCCCCGAGTTTCCTCACTGCAAAGCCTATCTAGCTAAATAAATGATGTTTACAGCTGGAAGCTGACCCCCATTACACAACGCCACAGTCCCAGCCAAGCTTCCAGGGAGAAGTTGTTCTTTGGGGGGACATTGCTTGAAAAAATGAAGAGGAAAACAAAACTAGTTGAAGCCAGTACAGCGATCTAATGGCATGAGAAAGCCTAAGCTACTTTTGCAGAGAAAACAATGGATTTGCAAGTAAGCTTGCCCAATTCATACTTACCTTTGGGCACAGGACACTTTGTTTTTTCAGCCACTGTCTGTGCAGAGCTGGTGGATTAGTGCAGAATCATGTTAAGATGCACTAGGAAGAGAGGAAGTCCAAATTTGGAAAACATCAAAAGAAAAAGCTGAGGGAGGTCAAAAATTAAGAGCAAGGAAATGCATCTGAAGGCACGGGGTGAGGTCTGGGAGAAGGTGCATCAAACATATCAAAAACTAGAGAACTCTGACATAGAAAAGAGAGGGGAGATAATAAGTTATTGAGGGGAGAAAAAAAAGCAAGAGCAGTAACTGTATCAACAGCTACCCTACTAATACACGAGCTGCAAGGCCCAGGTCTAGTTCTCCTGATGTCGTAAGCAAAATAATCCGATTGCTGATCACCAGTCCCTGGTTGCCAGGTACATTAATGAGCCCAGAGGTTCATCATACCTCCTCCAAGATGCAGGCAGTGAAGGAGCAAGGCAAGCATGGGAATCTGAGGAGAATTCAATGTCCTCACATGGGTCCAGTCACTTGCTGCTTTCCAGAAAGGAATATCCGCACAGGAAGAGTGAATATGTATCCAATCTTGTAAATGAAAAGAGATGCTTTTCTTTATGCTCTCGATATGGGATGAAACCAGGCAGGGACCCAAGGACATGAGTCTTTAGGGCCCCAAGACTAGCTCTGGCTCTTTGATGGCACTTTCAGACCTGCTGGAGACCGGCCGCACGGTCCCGGCGGTCTCGTGAGTGCTCTGTTACACCCCAGGGAATGGAGCACCTGCGTTGCCTGAAGCCCAAGGTGCCAACCTCGCTGGGCACCCAGGTGCTGGGACATGCTTCCAAATGCCTAGAGCCCTGCTGGGACCGTCAGGAGCAGCTGACTAGGAGCCACAGGACTTGGAGCAGAGTGGCTGCATGCCGCGTGGCGGCACTGATGCTTGTGGAAGGTGGCCAGCCTTTCTTGGATGAAATGGAGGTTGCTCAAGCCTTATCTCAGAGATGCATCAGAAGATGCTCTATCAGGATATTCAGCTGCCCGGGTCTGGCGTCTAGCTATGTTTCCTTCCAGCAAGCCGGAGTGGCTGGATGCCTGTGGAAAGACCACAGGGGTGAGGGCAAAGAGCTAGCCTTTCCCAGTCACCTTCGCGTTCCCCCTCAAGCAAGACATCCAAATGGAAACTCTTGCTTTACAGAGACTGAGCCCAAGGCTCCTGGGCACGCTGCGGGCCTGGCCTGGGGAAGCTGCCCCTGGACAGAGGTTGCACTTAAAGCTTGCAGGCTCGGAGGAAGGTTTATGCAGAAAGTCTCTGCCTTACGCCCGTGGCTTTTATTTGCTCCAGGTGCCACTTCAAGCCTGCCAGAGGCTGGGGGGCTCCC